CAAAAGAAATGGAAGTATTGATGAAATTTTAAGGAAAATAACCTGTATATACATTTTATAATGATATGGTCCGCCATCTTGGATTTTGACCAATGACGTCAACAGATTAGCATAAATTATGCATTTTTCATTATAGAATTTACATTAAAATTATCTGGGGTGTTATCAATATTAGAAACCATGAGTAACTTGACATAAAACCCATAAAATTATATTGTTGAAACCAAAATTACTAAATTTAGCAAAAACTGCCTGTCAGAAACCCGTTGCCATGGCAACACAAAAAATTATTATCTTATTCCAATGATCGACAATTGTTGCCAACAATATTTTAGGAAAAGTCACCAAGTTTGGTCGTTTTAGCACTAGCTGTTCAGACGCTAGGTGACATCAAAGTTGGCGCGGGCACTTTTAGCCCCCCCCCCGTCTAGATAGGGTTAATGTGACATTCAATAAAATCTGAATCCATATGTACATACATCAATCAATCAATCAATCAATCAATCAAAAATGGTTTATTAATAAAAGACATTGCAGCCGGACAGGCTGAATCGCGCCTTCTGTGCATACATATTGTGCAGGACACATTAAAAATATTTACAACATAGTTTTGTAATAATACATAGTTTTAAAATAATACATTTTAAAATAATATATTAATGTCAATTGCTTCTAATATCAGTTAGCATTCAGGATCCGCAACATCGACGGTACAGGACTGTTCTTAAACCTCAGAGTTCGGCAAGTCGGTAGGGTTAGTTCATGAGAATTTCTAAGGAACCGTCCATGTGTTTGTCCCCTGGAGACCAGGTACTAACTCAACAGTTCTTTCAGATGTTGCCATGCTGCTTGCAAATTTGGCGCACAAGTGGTCTCGTCTGGTAGCAAGTCTCTTTAGTCCGCAGACAGTAAGTGCTGTGTTATAGTCTGTGTAAGCCCTCCCAAGAATGATACGACATGCCCGCTTCTGCACACGTTCAAAGGCTGCCGTTTGCTGAATAGATAGGCCATGATGCCAAGCAGGAACACAGTACTCTTAGACTAGTATTGGCCTGATAAACCCGCAATACACCGTCACCAGGTCAGACAGTGCTAGGCCAAAAGATTTGAGTCTACGGATCATGAACATACGCTTGCTTGCCATTTTTGTCATCTCACACACTTGTGTTTCCCATTTGAGGTTTGATTGTAGCCATAGTCCCAAAATTTTAACTACATCCACTGCTGCAAGCTGATTTCCATCAATGGTTATTGGCAGGGGTGGGGGTGGAGTTTTCGATAAAGCTAACAGTGAAAGTAAAACATTTCTTTGGATTGAGTTTAAGTTTTGTGTCCTTTGACCATTTGTTTAGCGAGTTAACTTGTTCTTGGAGGTGCGATTGTTCCTGGATATGTCTGTTCTCTCCGAGGGACAGATCATCAACGTACTTCCACCGGTCGTCATATGCTAGGCAGGCGTCGTTGATCATGCATAGAAAGATAATAGGTCCCAGTTTTGTGCCCTGTGGTACGCCGGTGGTGAGTGTACATACATGTATTTGTTTGTTGTTTTTCAGGAGCAATGGAAAAGCAAAGGGACCTTCCTTCGTTCTATCACTCTGCTTCTTTTTCTCTGCAATCGCTATCATCGCCTACAACATTAGAACGGTGAGTAAAATCTTTTCTATTATTCTGTATCTGTATAGCCGGTATAACTGCCCTTCGGCATAACACACCAGCTTCTGTATCTGTATAGCCGGTATAACTGCCATTCGGCATAACACACCAGCTTCTGTATCTGTGTAGCCGGTAAAACCGCCATTCGGTGTGACACACCAGCTTCTGTATCAGTATAGCAGGTTTAACTGCCCTTCGGCATAACACACCTGTCCAGCTTCTGTATCTGTGTAGCCGGTATAACCATCATTCGGTGTAACACACTAGCTTCTGTATCCGTATAGCAGGTATAACCGCCATTCGGTGTAACACACCAGCTTCTGTATCTGTATAGCCGGTACAACTGCCCTTCGGCATAGCACACCTGTCCAGCTTCTGTATCTGTGTAGCCGGTATAACCGCCATTCGGTGTAACACACCAGCTTCTCTAACTGTATAGCAGGTATAACCGCCCTTCTGTGTAACACACCAGCTTCTGTATTTGTATAGCCGGTATAACCGCCATTCGGCATGAAACACCAGCTTCACAGGCACGCGTCGCGGCGTCAACTATGTATATCACACTGAACGACTTGTTGATTTTACACACAATCTTTGCACATCTAATTGCATGAGTTGTTTAAAGCTTTGTTGTGACAATGCCCCTACAGTGCTTGGTGGCAACGAGTTCCACTCTGCGATGATAGTTCTTGGAAAACACATGCATAGTCTGGACATTTTTCCTCTGTCAGCAAGTTCTAGCACTGTTCAAAATATGAGCCAAATATTTTTTTACCGATGCAACAACCACACTCCAAACTCTTGAGCTGTAGGATTTCAAAAATTGCGTCAGCTCAAAACTCTGAGTTGTTACCACCTTTCTCATAGCACGTATAATTTAGCCTCTATCAGACTTCAGGACCAGCAAACTACTCTTTAGCAGCGAACCAATTCCCCCTGCAATTGCTATCTGTCTATCTGCCCAATTCCTAACAGCTTTACGAAGCAAGGTGGTGGGTAGATGTTGCATACAATCGTGTATTTAAATAGAGAGAGGCCGGTAGAAGGGTACCACTAAAGAATAGTGCAAAGGATGGGGAAGACGAAATACACTTTATCGCAAACTGTTTGTTTCATAGAAACGATCGAAATGAATTGACTATACCAATTTTTCTAAACTTACAGACAATGAAAAAAAACTATTCTTCTTTTAACTGCCCAAAACCCTCAAATTTTGAAAAAGGTGGGACATTACGTCTTCCAAGAGAGATCAAATCCTCCAGACACAGTTTAAGACATAGATATAGTTTTAGACAACTACCTTATGCACATTTTAGTTATTTCATTCTCTGTTTAAATAGACAACTGCCTTATTTAGATTTTAGTTATTTCATTCTATGTGCAATTAGCCCTTGGGCATGACTGAAGGGTTAATACCCCGCCCCGAGGTGTATATGTTGATATAATCCCTGGTCAGGTGTGATAATCACCGAATAAACCACCAAGTGAGCATAGTGAACGATGTGGTTTTTGGGGTGGCTATCACATCTGACCAGGAATTGTATCACCATATACACCGAGGATAAGGCGGGCATTAATGTAAATATCATATACGCCTATCCAACTGACTCAGCTATTTCACACAAATTCCTTTATAAAATTCTTCAATTGTCAAAAAAAACTCTCACATTCTATATTACATGAAAGAAGATGGCATGGACAAAAATAACAGATCATCTAGGCAATTATTTGCAGTAACCACGTGACATTGGAACAGTACCATGTTTATTGGGGATGTCAAAAATTATGTTTAGTCTTTTTCTGTTTACATTTCATTAATTATAAATTTTTGATTTTGTTGTATTTTTCAAATAAATTATTCAAAATAACCTATATTGCGTTTTTAAAATATAATTACTACAAATATTTACACTGGTGTTAGTGCCAAGACCCCTGTATAATGGTACAGTCCAAAAAATTGGTCGTTTATTCTAATTACGGCCTGATAACCAATAGAAAATGGAGCCTTCTGATTGGTCTACGCCTTTTGACTATATGATAATTTGCAATAAACTTTTGTAATAATTTGAGTAAATGTTATTTTTAGCCTCGCCTTGTATTCTACTACAGGTGGGGGTTAACAACCAGAAGAACCGGCGACCGGTTTTCCTTCAACCTGCGTGTAAAAGACAAAGAATATTGGAGACAAAGCCCATAGCTTCACCAGTCAAAGTTTCTTCTAATAAACTCAATCCAATTGACCTAAATCTTGTCACCACTGCTGCCAACATGTCGGTATCTGTAGTCAACCCCCAGACTGTATATCAAGTTGGAGAAACGCTTTCACTGAAAATCGTGGCTCGAGATGCAAACGGACGGCCGAAATCGCACGGAGAAGATTTCCTTTTGACAAAGCTTCACACAGAATCTCCGACAGAGGCCTGTACGTCTGGTAAGATAACAGACCACGGAGATGGTACTTACGTAGCCACGTTTCTTCTACCCTTGTCTGGAAGTTTTTCTGTGTCAGTCATACTGATACACCCAAGCGAAGCAATCCAACTCCTAAAAAGGATCCATGACATCTATTCGGACAGACGCAACACCTGGTGTCAGTTTTACGATCGGAAAGCCAAAATTAAGGAATGGACGAGATGTATCTTTTACCCAAACTACAAGGTTGACCCTGAAGAGGTGTGTGATTTTTCTAAGCCGGCCCCAAATGCTACCTGGTACTGCGGAAAGCCAAAAGGGATCGCCTGCGAGACAATCATGAAATGCAAAAACAATAAAACGGCCGACCATGCCCTCGTGGATTCGGGCAAGTTGGTTTCCCCAGACGAGGCTCAACTGTTCAACATGTACAGTAGATTCTACTTATTTGTATTGCTTATAAGGCCATGTTGATTTGATTATGTTGATGACATCGGCGCGCACATGAATTTTTGGGCGTTATAAAACGTTTTCAACCATATTCTACATTTTACAAAACTGTTGTACAAAAGGAGCAAATATATACCATGAGTTGCAAAAAAATATTGGAAAACGATACCAATGTGGTAGAATGCCAAAATCAAACCAAAAAGACAAATTGTAAAATAAAATTAAGTTGAAGAGTAGGTTATTCGCCATACTATACTCAGTGTCATTTGTTCACCCTTCATGACCAGGTGGATTTCACAATAAAAGCAACGTTTTTACTAAACATTTTTTATTCGCACGCTCGCATCAGTTTTCGGGTTCCCAGAGGATGTCATCCATATGATCGCTGACGTCATTAATAACAATTACTTGGTATGGCCCAATGGAAAAAGAACAAACTGCTTTGAAACGATTACGACATTTCGAGCCATTTTATCATGTTTTGATTTTTTTTACTTTCCTTACAGATCTCGGGTAAATAAGGAAATTCCAAATAACATCAGGATTACTATTAAAAACAAAGGTAAGTACCATTAGCATAAAAGTTCATCTGAGTTGGTAAAATACATGACGAAAATTAAACTGTTTTCCAAGTCAAAAGTAATATCAACTCACCAGAAAGTTTCGACTGAATCACTCAGTCTTCATCAGCTGAGATGGAAGAAGCCATCTACATCAGGGCATACCAGCCTCCGTTCAACCGTGACTGGGGGCGGTTCCGATTTCCGATGATCTTGGACCCAGTGCTGACGTCACACGTGGCTAAAATTCACATGTCCACAGCACTTGGGTCATAAAGCTGATGAAGACTGTGTGATTCAGTCTAAAATTTCTGGTGTGTCATTTTCGTCGTTGAGCTGGAGAACAGTTCAATTTTCGTTGACAGGTAAGTACGATTATTGCGATATCTTAGTAATGAAAGACATTACATGCAATTTCAGGGCGTCAAAACGAACCAAAATATTCTGGATGAGCAAATCTATCTGATTTTGGCATTTCCTGTCTTTTCGTAGAACATTTTCGTCATAACTACATTCTAAACGCGTTTGAAATAGCCCACAACCAAGCTACTTGACGGCACAAGACAAAACAAAAACAATACCTCCATTTTCCGGAGGTAATAATATTCATTACACCAGCTCAAGCAGCAACCAAGTATGGGGCGTAAGTGCAGCCGAGGTTTGGTCTTGCCCCCTATTATCTTTCTATGGTACTGCAGAATAATTTTTGGTTTTGATGTCTCATATTTAGATAACAAGATCAGTTTACTGTTTTTTTTTTGATCACGTTTTTTTCGTGGCACGTGGTTTAAACGGAAAATAGGGCAAAAAGCAGCAATTTTGAGAAAATTCAGAGGTCTATTTATTAGAGACTTCTGATCAATGACCAGCGTTTTGAATCATTGTGACTGTTGAACTGTAATGTGCTATTTGTTTGCGCTACTTATATGTTTTTGAAACGGTTAAAAAAGAAAGCATTGGCCAAAATCGATTATGAAGTTTTATGAAATTCTATGATACATATGTACAATTCATATCAGTAGTATGTACATAATTATTCATGTATAGATGTATGTAACGTATGTAAATATTATGTGTTTATTTTAATGTAATGATTGTAAATACCAATGTCATTCAGGCAACATTATTATTCTATATGTTTGTCTGCAATGTTGGTATATTAATAAATGGTATAATGGTTTTTATTGTACAAACAGTACCCGTGCAGTCGCAGCCTTTAACGGCTGAATTGATGCAGGGTATCACATAACAATCGATACAAATCACAACAAACAAGTAATACACATGATAACACATATATTTTTTTGACACATGATAACATACAATTTTTTTGTGGAACTTTCGCAAGGGTCTCTGCGGCTGCCATTCGGCGCCACAAGGTGACCTCAATACGACTTTCCCCAACCGAAGTTAGGTACCCATTCACACCTGGATGGAGTGAGGAAAGTCGTGTTAAGTGCCTTTCCCAAGGGCACAACGTCGGGGCGCATGTTCAGACATGTACCGGGTACGACTCGGAATCGAACCCGGGTCTCCCGATTCACAGTCGAATGATCTACCACTACACCACCCGACGCCACTACAACTGATGATAATAAAAAATTAATTGATGAATTGAATTCACTAACAAAAATTTATACCGACTTTCCAAAAGTTTGACATCGATTTCTTGTTATGCTTAATGCTGTAGGTAGCCAGTATGGACCCCGGAAACTGGAAGGACTTCCCTTGCCAACCTGCGGCCCTCATCTACCGAAGACCAAATCTGAGGGATACTGGTACAACAAAACCTGGACTTCTCTCAGGTGCCAGGCATCACATTTCTCCTCCTCACCGTCAACCTACAGATGTATGGAGAACAAAACCTTCTACGTATTTGGCGATTCCACAGCACGACAATACAGAGACTATCTAAACAAATTAGTCGACAAAATGAATGTCCAGTTGCCCAATGATGTGAAGGAAACAGAAGACATTCATGACAGTATAAAGGTTAATTTCACACTGCATAACTATCCTCGTACACATCCTACAAGAAACGCTATGAGCGAAAAGTATGCTGTAGATATAATTGACGGACTTGTGGGTGGGCCAGATGTGGTCATCATTTTTGGCATATGGGCACACTACGCTGCTGTACACATAGAGACGTTTCGTGCACGTGTGTACGGAATTCGTAACGCCGTCGAACGTTTACACGCCAAATACCCTGAAACGAAGGTCATATGGCGAACCAGTAACATGCGGGAGCACGAGTCATTGTTGTACTATCTATTCTACAATAATTGGTATGCGTATCAAATAATGCTTGAAGCCAAGCGTATTCTTGGCGGTCTGAACATCTACGTTATGGATGTTTGGGAGATGTCGGTGTGTACTGGGTACGAATTACATCCAGTTCCTAATGTAATAAAGAACCATTTCGATTTAGTGTTTTCCTACATATGCCGGGAGTGACGGGAAGAGATATACCAGTCAGTTAAACTACCATCTATATTCACTTTATTACATTGACTACCCTACATGTAAATGTGGTTATCATAGTGAAACACTACTTTTCGTTTTGGTTTTGGTTTTTTGGTTTACGCACCTTGTAATTATGCATGTATTTTGTAAATGTATTTTACACTCGCTTTATGTTTTTGAGCAGGTGTTATATAAGCAACTTGTGCTTTTCCCAATACTCAATAAACATATTCGAATAAAATAAAATAAAGAATACAAATAGAAGCTTTTAGATCAGGAAAATGTCGCCTTTTGCTAGATGAATACATCTTTGGGGTAAACCTGCAAGTAGAGCACTGAGAAGAGAACAACAATATGGTTGTTAATATAAATAACTAAATAAACAAATATATATATACTCAATCAGAGGTAATTCATTGTTTATTTAGCCATGGATTGGCTAAATAACCAACACCAAAAATTCTCTCACCTAGAGCTTTCTACCAGTCACTCTAGTCTTCCTCAGTAGACTGACCCAGTAAAGCTTGTCACGTGGCTTCTTTGAAGTGTGACGTCAACACTGGGTCAAAGGTATCTGGTAGACGATGTCGGTCCCCGTCGCGATTCAATGTAGGGTGATGGGCCCTGATGTATATGGCTTCCTTCTCCCCTCTCAAGAAATAGTCTTGTTCAGTGTCTAAAATCCTTACAGTGTCAAGTGAAACAAAGTGTCCGGATGACTCTATGTGGATGTGTTGAGACACCTCTGAACTGGCAAAGCTAACCCGTGTATGTTCTTGAAACCTGGCTTTTAGACCTCTCATTTTCCCAAATGTACGTTTCCTGGCAGGGCCCTTGTTGTTTTTGCCCTGGCAGGGGATGTGGTAAATGACACCACACTTCTTCTCTTTAGGGGTTTTGTCCTTGGGCGCAACAAGAATGTGTCTTAAACTAGTGGTTGCATCACCACTATGTATTGTGTTGGTTGCACGTTTAAATGATAAAAATATAGGGGGTGGAACTTATTACTTTTTATCACTTTTTTAAATATTTGAATTGAATACCTGTACCGTTTGCAGGTATGTTTATGTACCTTACAATTTATGTCATTATTTGATTTGAATCAGTATACTTTGTGTATTATACGATTTTGTATTTTAGGTGTAAAACTTCTAACTACACTAAAAGAATCATTTAATTCATTTCAAAAAGAATACCGTGGTGATAAAAAACATACATTCGAGAAAAGGTAAATACGTGCTTTCCACATATCTCCCCATTTAACAATTTTATGTACTTCAAAATCATTAATATGTAAATTCATCCCTATTTTTGAATCGCATTTTCATTGCCTTCGAAAAAAAGGCTATAAAATCGTTTTGGCACTGTTTGGCAGTTTATGCACGATAAATTTTGAAGGTATGGTCCGAGGTTCACGATTTTCTGTAGGCAGGTTTTCTTAGTGATGGGCATTGCCAAGGCCACAAATGGGCTTCATGGGGGGGTTCTTACTTGACTGGAGCTGACCTTTTGTGTTTGCGCTTTTGTTGTACTCCAGATTACTCGGGAATTCTTAAATGGTTGCCTATGAATTTTAGTTGGCAAGTTACCGTTGAGATTACGAAGGTCAAGTTCGGAGGTTCCCATGTCATTGAATTTGACCTTTTGTGTTGTTTGTTATTGTTGTTAGCAAGATAATTCGTGAAGTTGCAAATGGATGTTCACGATTTTTTGTGAGCAAGTTACCGTTGACGATACGAAGATCAAATTCGGAAATGGGCGTCATAGGAGAACGGTACTGTTGTGGGCTTTAGGTGATTGTTTGTTAGTTTTTAAGTAGTTGAAGTTGTAAAATAGGAAAAAAAAAATTATGTGAATAGGTTAAGGGGTTTAGATTGAGGGTTTGGAGTCTGTAGTAGGTTGTGGGTTAATATAATAGAACAATTTGTGTCCACATCTTTAAGTATAGGCGTTTTTTGTCCCTTTATGTAGTTCGTTAAACTAAGAAGTGCATAGTCGGGGTTAAGTAGGTTACGCTAACATCAGCAAAGCAAGGGTCTAGAGTTGTTTGTTGAAATATCAGTAATCCTCAAGTGTTCCTTTAACAATCGAAGCTACCCTGGAAACAGTCCTGACAAGGTAGTAATGTATATCAAAAATAGGTTCAAGGTCAAGTGTTGGAAACTGCATAACAAGTGCCTTTTAATTACTTGTAATTGGTGGACCATGACACAGCATTCAAATTGCATGTTTTTTACTATCTGGTAAGTTTAACATGACTTTATCCCTCGCAAACCTATGTCGTACAGTGGAAACATACTAGAATGTGTTTCCCCTATGTTTCCACTGTCGGACTGAAGGAAACACACAGGAACCCACACTGGAAACATATGCTAGTAGATATTCCGTAACCAACTTATCTGCCCATGGAAACACAAGGAGCTGTCACAGTGCTGTGGCACAAGAGTACTGTTGTTTGTTTAGACAAGTTCGAAACAGAGAGCTTCTGAGTCAGGGTAGTTAGCACTCCAGATGTTGGTGACAAATTTGGGTCAGGAGAGTGATAAACACTGATTACTGTCTAAATATAGTGACAAACTCAACAAGTTCCACCTCAGAAAAGTTACCATTATGGTGGTGGAACGTGAAGAAAATTGTTCTCCTCTTGTTACCAACAAAGGCTAGTTGCTTCTATAAGATGGCAGGATGCCTGGAGTGCAAGCAAGTCCCAACTGTGGGGACGGTGGGGGTTTTGGTTCCTGACACAGCAATCATGTCAGTGGACCAACCTGGGTGCCAGACCAATAGCACGCTGGACACAAAGTTGCCTGACTTAACCTCGCCTTGTTTTTGGTGCGTCTGTGTGTTTGTGTGTCTGTCTGTCTGTCTGCGTGTTTGTGTTTTCGGACATTTGCAGCCATTATAACTTTTGAACCCTTGGATGGATTGTAATAATATTTGGTATGTGGGTAGGTGTTAGATAGGCAAAGGTCAAGGTCAAATATGGGCCACCTGGTGGATAACCTTGGTACTACAGCAGAACATCCGGTTTTTGTATCTTTTTGTCCTGAACATGCTATGGTCTTGACTATTTGGTGACAGATAGCTCTTCCCGTCAGGAATAAGTGGTGTGGGTTTGGTCCCCCTAGTAGCTTGTTCTAGAACTGCAGGTGGCTTTCTGGTGAAATGTTTAAAAGCCATTAAGTCCAGATAGGAACAACGTATTCTCATCATTTTGTAGGTACGTGTGTAGGTAGCTTGAGAGAGTTGTACATAATTGTATGCAAATTATGCAAATGAGAACTTAATTTGCATAATTAATGAGGACATTCTATAATTACAGTGTTTATATAATAGTATTTTTATACTATGTAATATTTTTAATCTGTCTCATGCGGAACATCAACAGATACCAATTATGTCAAATTATGACCTAATTTGCATAATTGATGTGAAAATTCTGTGATTCCTCATTGGTGAATGATAGGAATTTTATACCTTGTGACATGTGTAAAGTTACTCAAAGGTTAACACCATGATACATATATTATGTTAATGTTGAGGTAATTTGCATAATTCATGAAGACATGTTTTAATGAGAAATTTTACACGAAAAATATTGTAATTTGAATTTAGATAAAATTAGATAAAACCATAAATCAAACTAGATTATGCTAATTACGACCTTGTTTCCATAGTCAATGAGACAAATAAAAAACATTTACAAAAACTCATATATTTCATGGAGGATTTTGAGATCTCCGAATTCTTGTTTTAAAGTAAGCATTAATACTGTTCCAATAGTGAACTGCCAATGTGCACCAATGCCTCTGGATTGTGCACATGTGATTTGGGACTGCCTTCGTATTGTTAAACTCATAATTACATGTATATACAAACTGCAAACAAACCTTTTGAATTGCAATTTGACAAAATTCTTATATTTATTGAAATTAGTATTTCTTTAAATATGCTGCTTCAGTTCAAAAGTGTGAATGGGAAATGTTTTTGGCGACGCCTTTAGGGGCGGAGGCACTTTTACAGTATTTTTCGATCAAGCTGAAAGAATTTAGAAAATTTTACGAATGCATTCCCTGCGGAATTGGTTTTGAGGTGGCCTCCGGCCATGTGGTGTTTGGATCGAGCTTGAAAGGCTGTTGTTGCTTTCTTTGGATTTGAGTGGCACAATTTGGGGCAAATTGTAGGTTTAAGCATAGATAATTACTGTTTTTTATGTTTCAAATATGTTTATTTGTTTCGAATGTATAGAACATTTTGCTGGTAAGGCTAATCTAGGTTTTAAGTCTTCAACGGGAAACGAGGGTGAATCTGTGGTATATAGGGTGTTTTGTGATGTGATTGATATCTCATATTATTTGAGGTATAAATCCAGGTTATTTAAGGTGTTTAATTTGATTTATTAGACTGTATTTTTAGGTGTTATGAAATGTTGAGGACAACAAGGATAAAGAAAGGTCACAGAGACAAGGCTTCCTGTACTTGTATTGTATGTCTAGAAAGAATTCAAACATTTAGTACAAGACATGGCGACGGCACAGTCGCGGGACCTATTGTGACGGCATGATGTTTCTCTTTTATGAAAAGTCTTACTGTGTGCTGATAGTGATGTTTTGTGTGAGGGATTTGTGTGTGTGCGTTTGCCATTACATATATGTGAGTTTGCATGATTCTTTTTTTTCTTCACTTTCTTCTCTTTTTGGCTTCCATGATGCTGCTGCATTCAGTGTTTCTTTTTCCTGCGTGGACGTTATTAGTGCTTGCGCAACCCAATTCTTCCACCATAGCGGCCGTGCTATGGCCAGTGGATTCCTTCTGTAGTCATGGTGAGCATGATGAAGTTCACCTGTTGACAGAAAGAGAGAAAAGAGCATAAATAAATGCCGTTTTGCGTAGCTAAAGCCTCGGTCACAACCCGCCGTATGTGCTTCTGCGTGCTGTCTACGTGCAAAAACGTGGCCAAACGTAGGGCCTCTGTGCGTGGTGAGTACCGCCTCCGTACGGAATCCTACGGATTTGGGAGCACGCAGACACGCCGTATAGAACTTTAAGTGCATGTAAAACTTANATAGACACCATTCAGTTCAAGGATGTCCTCGAACTTGTGCAAAAACATGGGGCACAACGAGGGGACATTAAAGGCATCCAGAACAAAGGCAAGGGGGTTTGTGAAGTAATGTTCACCTCGCAGGCGGCTTTAGCCAAAGTCGCACCTACGCTGGCACTTGATACAGCAGTGGACTGCGAGCTGTTTGGGAAGAACTTTATTGTGGTCACTGCCTTCGGCATACCAATGGACATGGATGACAATTACGTTCGTCACCGTCTCCAAGCGTACGGGACCATAGATGCGTCCAGACTCCTGACGTATGCTAACCTAGGCTTTCCAGAA